CGACTGTCGCCGTCTGTGCCGGGAAACAACCGGCGAGAGGGGTAGGTACAGCCGGAGCGGCAGGAAGAGGAGGGGCCGGCGGGCAGGGCCGCCCTCCCGCCGGGCGGTGCGGCCGGGACAGGGCGGGAGCGGCCTCGCGGTGAGTCGGGCGGGATGGGGACACCGGGAGGGGTTGGGGAGGGTGGACGCTGCTTGAATCGGGCCAAAATAGCGCGTTATCGAGTCTTGTGCCTCAGGATACCCGCATCGGCGCCGGGTTCCTTCCTAATGAGGTTTTTAGCGGGGGTGCCTGCAGGAAACGGGGGATGATTTGCCAAAGCGATCGCTGCGGCGGCCGGTGGGGGCGGCGGGGCCGGGACGGGCAGGCGGCCTGTCGGCCTCCCTCAGGGGAGCCTGGCGAGGCGTTCCCGGCCTGGATCCCATAAATCCCATAAAGTCTGGGCTGGACTGAAGTTCCCGGCCTGGATCCGGTAAATCCCATAAAGTCTCAGAAAAACACCCCACTTCTGCGCCCCTGTTTCCACGTAAAGGCCTCTCCGACTCGGGTATTTCCAAAAATGATGTGAAACATGTCAAGGTCCGCGTCCTGTCCAGCATCAGGACCTGTGTTTTCTGGGGATGCTTCTCTCATCCTCCCTATGGATTTTTTTAATTATTTTTTTCTTCTTCTTTCAGGGCCTACCAAGGAAACGGAGTGGCAGCGCCTTGGCACAGTTTGGAAACGATGAGCTACCTCTAACTAGAGCAAATGACAGCATAATGGAACAGGCAGCGGGCTGCCAAAAGTCTTTGTTAACTGGCATTTTGTTTCCAGAAGTAACTCCAAGCCGGTACCAAGGAAACAAGTGAGAACTCCCCAAGTTTGTGTATAATATTTTCCGTATTTCTCTCCCAGCTTCCAACCAGCTGACTTCCTCAGCTGAATGCTTTGGGGTTGTTCCCTTCCTGTTTGGTTTTTTTTTTTTTTTAATTCTCCCTCAGTAGATTCCTCTACCATTCATTTCCTCAGCCTCTGTGAACCCACATCAGCCCCAGCCTTTAGCAAGGACTGCCGTAGGCCCACTGGGGTTTTTAGGAAGCATCCTCTTGGCACAGCTTGAAGTTGAGTAGCTCCCTGCTGTGACCACTCTTGCTCCCCTGTGAGAAAAGGGAGCGATCCATCAGCTCCAGTGCCTGCTGCCTGCCCTGTTCCTGGCTGTCCTTCTCTGTTCCAGCCTGTTCAGAGTGTAGCCTTCTTGGGTCTCCCCGACCACTGTGTTCCTTGCCTTCTAAAGCGTCCTGTTGGCCTCTGGGAGGAAGGTAATACTGAGCAATCGCAGCCTCTCTCGCCTGGGCACTGCAGGGGACGGGTCTGCCTGCAGCGAGCTGCCTCGCAGAAGCCCTTGTGTTGTTTCCTCTTTTCTCTGCCAGGGACAGGTTTGATAGTTTATTTTTTTTTTCCCTCATATGTAATGTGATCGTTTAAAATCGTTGCTGTTACATAACAACAGATCGTGGTCTACATCTTGCTTTATTTTAGGGAGTATCAGGTATAAAGCCCTACCAGTGACAAATGTTTCCTTTATTTTTTTTTCCTTAATATGCACTTTCCACAATATTTTTCACTTAACAGTCTTAACTTCTTGATCGAATTAGCAACCTATTTTATGGGCATGCTAATTTGAGACTAACCACGATTAAACTGAAGATACCATCCAACAACCTTTGTAAATGTTTGCTTTAGAAACTTCTCAAGCCAATTATTTCAGTTTCCATAGTGAGCTGGTTTTGATGTCCTTGCCGTTCAACACACATCCTGTTAAGAGCTGTCATTAACTCTGTTGTCTTCTTTGTTCTGAACGGTGCCAAGCACTTTTGACAGAGTCCAAATCAATACTAAGTAACAATGGATGTTTGTTAGCCTTAATTCCAGGTTTAGCTCTCCTGGATGAAGCTGCCAACAGATCAGAGGAATGCAGGAGCTTTTCCTTTCCCTGGTGGTTTCACAAGGCTGTGCTGATAGTCTGTGTGCTGTCCAGACCGGCTTTTAGCATTTAGTCCAGAAACCTCTATATCCTGCTATAAAACATTCTTTTCTAAGGGCAGGAAATTATTAAATGCCTGGAATAAACAGTTAACTTCATTCATGCTTGATGTTTGTTTTAATGCAGTAGAATAAAGTCAATGGAATGGTGGAAAGTATTCTACAAGCACTGAAGTACCAAAAGAATATGATCTCAAATGAAAAGCAATACTAATCCTGAGGGATTAGGACCATAAATTACGTATTTTAAAAATAGCAACATTCTCAGAACAATCGGTCTATGGCTGTAAGCACACCTCTACTTATACCACCTGTAACTACCTCTCTTCCTAATACCCTTATTCCTGGCCTGGACATGTTGAATGAGACGATACTCATCTACCAGATGAGAAAAATGTCACATTCTTCTTAGGAGCCATTAAGGCTAAAAGCTCCTGGTTTTTTTAAAAACAAAAAATTAAACTCTGAGGTAAAGAGGTGACTCCTGAACACCTTAGAATGGGTTTACGTGTTTTCTGTACCTTTATCTGCACGTGCAAGAAAGCAATGTTTTCCCTCCAGACTTGATCAAAAGGGAAAATCTGGCTGAAGCAGAGCTGTGTGTGCTCTCCACCAGCAGCTCTGCAAAACACCTGGGGCGGGTAGGGAGGATCTTTGGGGGCTCTGGCTCACCTGGCTCCTCATGGATTTTCCAGTTTCCATTCCCAGGAATACCTGCAAGATTTGTCCCCAGAGGTAAGATCAGTGGGCAGATCTCAGAGCATGTTTTGTATCATAAGTAAATAAACAAAAAAATAAGCTAAAAATGTGTTTTTTCTTTGTATTTATTATTAGGAGGTACATGCTTTGTGAAGTTTTACAGTTTTCTCTCTGTTGCTAAAGGTGCTGCGTTTTTCTTCTAAAAAATTAAACCACACCATCTTAGAACTGTTGGCAGAGGAGAAAGGCTGCATTTGTTGTGTTACCAAGAGCACATTTCCAGTATCCGTGGCCCTTCTTGTCAGATTCTAGTTCAGGAACCTGGCAAGGAAGCTGACCCTGAGAAAATAAGAGGTGGGAAAGCTGTAAAGACAAACTACAAACCAAAAGTGAAGATGAGCTAAATCCACTGCAGTGAATTTCTCACAGTGCTCTGTAGTAGTCAGTAATAACAGACATGTTTTCACTTACCTTTTGCAGTCCTTTTATTTCAACAAAACCTAGGTGCTTATCAGTTTGCCCAAGAACCTCGTTTAATTTTTAAAAAGCAGAATAAAAATTGTCTCAAGCTTATTACAAATGTTTGACTCAGAAATGCTGTAAATGTTGAGTGGCATTCCCACAAATACTCACAAAGTAAAGAGTGTGTTTTATAAAAGAGAAATCATCTTGAGATACCTATTCTAAAAGAGTGATTCTGGGGAAATGAAGTAAATCAGCAGAAGAAATTTCACTGGTGGACATAAAAGAACAAAATAAACTTTTCTGCCCTTACCAAAACCCAGTAGGCTGGGCCCTGAGTTTTTAACATCATCTACTATTGTTCAGACAACCTGCCTCTCAACTGTTCTGACAAATGCCTGGTTTTCATCAGAAGTATTTGGGTCCTGTGCCACAGTTGACAGAAACAAGCCTGAGGGTTGGTACGAATTCAGCCAGGGTTCAGACTGGTGTCTTTGGTGGTGGTTTCCAACTGTGGAGGTGTATCTCTCTTTAACCCGCTGCAGGAGTGTGGAGCCTGTGGAATAAGCTCCCCCTGATCTGTGCTGACTCCATGTTGGCACAACTCAGATGCACTTCTGCCTTGGCCCTGTACTGCAGTGCACAATTCCACTCAAGATATTTTTTGCTCACCTTTAATGCCAGGGCTCTTTCAGCTCACTAGGTGCAGCAGGTGCAAGAAAGAGATGGCAGCAGCCAAAAAACAGATGTGCAAAGAGGCAGCGAGTGCAAAAGTCTCAGGGCAAGCAGAGGAAGAGATGAGGAGCTGTATCCAGTGAAATATCTGTTTTCCTAAGCAGGAAAAAAAAAAAAAAAAAAAAAAAAAAAAAAAAAACACCCCCAAGCAGGAAAGGAAATACACAGAATAGCCTAAAATTTAAAGGTCCCTTTTGGTGAACAAGAACTCCTACAAGCAGCCAAATGGTGACGAAATTACCAAGCTATGTACGTGATCCCGCTATCAGAACCGCATCTTTTGTTCAAGGCAAATTACCACGGCTTCTCTGTCTGTGTTTCTCAGGCTGCTGAGCGTGACCTTTGCAGGACCAACAGAAGGCAAAAAAAAAAAAAAAAAAAAAAAAAAAAAAAAACAAAGAAAAACCACCCCAAAGTTTAGAATGGCAGGCCTATGCTAGGTAAGTGTTTGGGAAGTTCCTGAGCCTTTACTGGGAAGCACAAAAGAGACCAACTCAGCTAGATTTGTTTCCCAGATTTTAGAATCCATTAATCCCACATTATTTGCTGACTTGAACAGGTATTTCTGGCCCAAATATCAGTAAATGGTGCCTGCTGCCCACTGCGCAGACAATGCATATTGCATGAAAGTGTGAACTAAGACTTCTCTGCTAGTCTTCACACTTGCAAACCTCAGCTCTGCTCATCTTGCATGCTAACCTTTTGCAGTTTGGTTTCAAAATTTTCCACCGTAAGCAAAACGAATAGACTTGTAAAGTTCTATTATCATTACCCAGGTAAGTAAGAATTTAGCCTCATCAAGAATAAGCAGACAAACAAGAAAAAAAATAAACAACCCACCCATATGTAACTGTAGAAGAGAGGGATTAGGCTATTAAATGGTGCAGAAACAGCAATTCATTACAAGGAATAACTCATCTGATTCTTCTGTACCTATAAAATGTAACGACTAACGATCAGGAGACACTACGTTTTCTAATAAACAGAGACACAACTGTAGTGATTACACAGTATTTCATATAGCAATATTCAGCTAAGGCAGAGAGAGAGAAAGGAGGCAGCCAGAATCCCTTGCACCAGCTATTCTTATATATTCAGTATCTGCATTTGTGGAATTTGTTTGCAAATTCTGGTCTGCAATTTTATGTTCCTCATATTAAGAACTCTCAACTTTATGCCGATGAGCTGGAATAACCATAATGACTGAAATAACTATAAATACTAGAATATTCATATGTTGTATATAAAAAATACAATATATGCTTCATATATACATAATACATACATTACACAGTAGTTGTGCGAGTTGTTGATCTGATTATAGGTTCTCTTGATTCCCACTGCTGTGAGTTTAGATCTTTAGTAAGGTAACAGCCTCAAGAAACTTTTGAAAAACCCAGAGATTTGGGTTTCTAAACAGGAAAGATTTCTTGTAATGAGAACAAAGGGGCTTGGAAGCAGGAGGAGGAGAATTAGATACTTCATCCTCCTGTGAAGTACGGAAAATAGGAAGAAAGTGAAGCCCACGAGTCTCTTCCTTATCAGACACATAACAATCAATCATTCCCTACACTTCTACTTGCAAGGGCTCCACCAGAGTAAGAAACGGGCCCTTAAAACAAAAGAACAACTGGAACTCGATACAAAATCCCCCATCTTTCACCTACTGCAGTTCAGAAGCAAGAGGCCAAAGTAAAAAGCAAGCAGAGGAGGAAAAGAAGCGGAGATGGGCAATGGGTACTGGCTCCGCATCTTCCAAAACTTTCTAACTGAGAGATGAAAACACATACCTGATTTTCTCCCCTGGCTTCCTAAAAAAGATGGCTAACAAGCTGCTGAGCCTGGTGCAGAGAATAGGTGTTTCTGAGTACAGGTATATTTGATCACTGCACTACACAGGGCACTGAGAATCATCTTCGGGAATTGTGAAAGGGGACCTTCAAAGCATGTACCAAATGCACCCTCGAGTGAGTTCAGTCCCATCCTTTCCGTAGGACTTGTTCAACCGTATGATGGTTTTTCTTCTGACACTTTTCTGGCAACATATGAGAGGCTAACAGAGGAAGATCTAGTAGATGGCACTTTTAAGAGGCAGATGATACCAAGCTCTTTATCCTCAGTGCATCCAAGCCTGTCAATACTTTTGAGCAAATTACTGAAGCTTAGCAGGCCACAACTACACTTGAAAGTTGTACCTTCCTAATATTTTTTTTTTTTTTTTGCCTATAAGGAAGAGGGACAGAAGTTCTTGTTTAGTAAATTAGCAGATAGTTTTACAAACTGATTTCTTCTCTGTATGTGTAATTACTACTGCGTGTCTAGAGTGGTGGTTAACTTTTTTGCAAGAATGACTCTTTTGGGGACTCATTTGAATTCTTTTCAGATGTCTTGCCTCTACTGAGTCATAATTATTGGCTTGGGTTCTTACACCAACGAGGGGACTCTTAACTACCTTTATTTGCTGACAGTGGCTCAGCTTCTTCAAGGCAAGGGTGAAACAGCTGCAACTACCAAGGTGGTGCCAATAATTTAGAATAGGTGTTCCCAGGCTAGTGCTGCCATTACACAACTCCCCCTCGATGCCACCATAAACCAGACCACATAGGCCCAGAAGCATTGGCTTTAAGCGCTGCCTAGTACCTTGTAATACTCGTCATAATTGACATAAACAAGCTCTCGGGTTTTCAAGGTTTACATCAGCAGGTACAGCAACTCGTGGAAAGTGAAAATAAGAAGAGGACTTACAGGTATCTTCAGAAAACAAGCAACTGCCCTCTGAAGTCTGCCCAAGGACTGGAGCAGGGTCAGTTCAAAATGAGCTTAGTTTACAGTCTCCGCTCCTCGTAAGTATTCTGGTGCCTGCACCACTCCCCCAAAAGCCCCACTCTGGGGCCTCAGACAACAAGCTGATGACAGCAGCAGGAACACCTGGATGGGGTTGAGATGCTGAGCTCCTTAAGTCAGGCCATCGCTCTCTGTCTTCCCTACAAGAAGCAGCAAAACATCAGTGCCTCAATAAACACCAGTCATACCAAAAACTCTGAGGGTTTAAAAACGATGAGTCAGTCTCCCCTAAATTAGGGGATTACCACTGGCGTTTAAAAAGAAAAAATAAAAAGCGAGAGGCAGAAAGCCCGCGTTGTTCTGCTTCGCTGCAGCCGGAGCAGGGTTTCCAGCAGGGACGGGGTGTCTGCGGGCTCCGGGGACTTCTCGGGAGCGAAGGCCGGGCACAGGCGAGGGCACCCCCGTAATGGGGGGCGAAATACAGCCGCTGGGGCCGCCGCTTCCCCCGGGCGGGGCGGGGCGGGACGGGACCGGGACAAGCTGCCGCCGCTGCCTCCCCTCAGCGCCTGCCCCAGGCCGGAGCCCCGCCGCCTAAGCCGGGAGGGCAGGGCCCAGGGCCGGCCAACGCCAGGAGGGGAGGGCCTTCCTCGGCCCTGCTCCACCTCCTCAGCGCCGCGGCGAGGGGTAGGGGGGTTATCCCGGTCCTTCCTCACAGACCCCAGGAGGCCCCACTGAGGAGAACGCGAGCGGCACAGGGATATACCCAGCACCCCCCTCCCTCCTCCCGGAGCCCCCTCCGCTAGGCCGC